ACCCCTGGGTTCAATCCCTGGTTAAAATTCTTAAAAAAGCCACATTTATTGAGTATTCTCTGATACTAGTGCTATCATAGATGCTGAGGTTATGAAGATGATAAAGACAGGAGAATTCCCAACTCACACTTAAATATCTTTAAGAAAGAGGCTTATAATAAATTCACATGCCATAAACTTTACCTCGTAATGTATACAATTTGGTGGCCTTTAGTATATTGACCAAGTTCTGCAGTCATCATTGCTATTTAACTTTGGAAGACAAATTTTTATAATATTTTAAGTCCTCCCTTATTTTGGGGTTTATCACAAAGCTTAATTTTCTTCTGTTCTCCTTAAGTGCACCCTTAAAGGTAAGATTGTGTAGAGTCTGCCTTCCACTGTAATTGTTCATCAGTTAGGAAGTGGATGGTATTTGCCTCCATCTATTAAAACAGTGCTGAAAGGTGTGATGCTTTTAACCCAGAATAGATTTAAAAGGTGAAAAATTTTAATAGCTAACTTGTTATTTGAACAAATAAGGTAGATTGTTGTGGAGGAATTTTTTTAATATTTCACAAGTGTAGGACTAGGAAAGAGTTCGAGAGAACTATCATACCATTTCAAATAACAAATGACATTTAAAATCAAATTATGCTACACCAGCTCTCTACTTTCTCAAAAATATTCAGAAACTTTGTTTCAGAAGCCATTTTATGTCCTTACTTTTACTCCAGAAATTTGGTAAGGGTGTTTTTGGTAGGAGTGTTTGGGGATTTAACTCAAGGCTTTTACACTGAGCTGCATGTTAAGCAAGCACTCTACCAACTAAGCTTTATCTCCAGCCTCTAGCCCTTTTTATTTTTTTATTTTGAGACAGGGCTTTGCTGTTACATAGCCTTGAACTTGCAATCCTCCTTTCTCACCCTTCCGGAGTCTCTGGGATTACAGATAGATATGTCTTACCATGCCCAGTTTGTTTTAAAACATGAGTGACCATTGACTTAAATTTTTTTTCCAGTTAACATTAGGGCTCCCCAAACCTGAAGAATGGTTAAACACCAACTACTGCTTAACCGGGTTGCTGTAAACAAAGCCCAGAATGAAACCCCTGTGTATTTGCTGCAGATTCCCAGGTGCCTCTAAAGTGCAGAAATAAGCTCAGAAAAAACCTTAATAGCTTTATTAAGTAGTCATCCTTTAAAAGGTTCATGTGCCTCAGTGGTAGAGTGCCTGCCTCAGTGATAGAGTACCTGCCTCTCACAGGTGAGGCATTGGGTTCCATCTTCAACACCACATAAAAAAAATAAAAATAAAGGTATTATGTTCATCTACAATTAAAAAATATATTTTAAAAAAGTAAAAAAAAAAAAAGTTTATGTGCAACTTGGATGTTGTATCAGAGCAAGTGTCTGCCATCCCACTCCATTTCTCACTGAACACTGACTGGAAAATGGTGAAGTCTAGGGTTTAGATTCCCCTCATGTTCAGGCAGAATTTTTTTTTTTTTTTTTGGCAGTTGGGGGTACCTAGGATTGAACCCAGGAGCCCTTAACCACTGATCCACATTCCCCAGTGCTTGCATTTGTCTATCTGTCTGTCTGTCTATCTATCTATCTATCTATTTTTTAGTTGTAGTTGGACACAATATCTTATTTTTTTGTGGTGCTGAGGATTGAACCCAGGACCTCAAACTTACTAGGCGAGTGCTCTACTGCTAAGCCACAACCCCAACCCCCACCCCCCCAGCTCTTTTTAGTTTTAATTTTGACAGGGTCTTGCTAAGTTGTTTAGGGATTCTGTCAGAAAAGTTTCATTAGGACAAAAGTAAGGCCATAGAGCTATGTAAAGAGGAATTATGAATCCTAAGGTATCAAGCTGTTTCCTGATGTTTAGGAAGAATATTCCTTAAATGAAGAATGAAATGTCTTGCCATTAGTGACTAAGTTTGGTTCTCACCAACAAAAAATCACTTTAAGATGAACACTTGATTCACATTAGCTGTTGGTTAAAAAGAAAGCTAACATTCTGTTAGGTTTCCAGTGTGATAACTGGGACAAACTCTGGCTTCTTGGCCAAATCCAGCTTTAATGAAGGCAGTTAAAACTTAGAGATGATTTGAGTGCTGCATAGTTTTGCTCTCATGTTTATTTGGGAGGTAAAGAAAGAGATTGTGAGGGTGGGGATTGGGGAATCTGATTGGGGAATCTATCTGTTATAATAGGATTTGTGTATTAATGGAATGAACTGCTCATTTTTTGCTGTATGCACTTCCTTTGTCCTTGCTGAGGAGAGAGGCTGAAGTTTCCTAGAGCTATTGATGATTGTAAGAGGAACTTTGGACTTTTGACCTCAGAGGCAGGGTGTTAAGGGGAGTTTGGAGATCACAGGATGTTTCTAGGACAGAATCTGTATTACAGTTTACTTTAAAATAGGAATATACAAATTAAAACATTAACTTCTACTTTCCTGTTCTATAGTCCTGTCATTTGATATTGCTTTTTCTTTTCTTTCTTTTTTTAATATTACTTTTTCCAAAGCAACACATGACCATTTTTGGGGGAGGACCTTTTCTTTTTCAGTTCTCATGTAGGTTGCTTTGTTAGACTGAAAAAGATATATGCCCCAAACTTTTTCTTACTATGTAGAGGGTACTTTCTTTTTCATTAAAAAAAAAAAGTCCCCAAGCATTGAACTAAAATGATTATGATAATAATATTATGCTATCTTGTTTTAACAATTCTTTAAGAGAGAGAGAGAGAGAGAGAAAGAGAAAGAGAATTTTTTAATATTTATTTTTTTAGTTTTTTTGGTGGACACAACATCTTTGTTTGTATGTGGTGCTGAGGATCGAATCCAGGCCACACACATGCCAGGCGAGCATGTTATCGCTTGAGCCACATCCCCAGCCCTTTTTAACAATTCTTATAGGTAACTTAGTTTAGGCTTAATCATTGAAATGCATAAGTGGTCTTCTGTTTTGCCTCATCCCACTCTTTTGGCTGCATCTTCACCAATAAAACATCAAAAAGGAACATGTGGTTAACAATAAATCTGTTTAAAAGGGAAGTTTCAGCTTTTAGCTAATTATTTTCTAATAAAAGTCTTTTAAGCTATTTTTAAAAACATTGTAAAACCAGCTGACCATGGTGGCTCACACCTGTAATCCCAGCATCTCAGGAAACTGAGGCAGGAGGATCACAAATTGGAAGTCAGCCTGGGCATCTTGGATGCTATCTTTTTTTTTTAAATTTTTTACTATTTATTTTTTAGTTTTCGGCGGACACAACATCTTTGTTTGTATGTGGTGCTGAGGATCGAACCTGGGCCGCACGCATGCCAGGCGAGCACGCTACCGCTTGAGCCATATCCCCAGCCCTTGGATGCTATCTTAAAATAAAAAAAGAAAAGAACAGGTACCTAGCTCAGTGGTAAACCATCCCTAAATTCAGTGTCCAGTACCCTCCCCACCAAAACAAAACAGAAAGAATAGATAGTATTCTGTGGTTATACCTCCTGGAACTATGATAATTATCTGTTCATGCTTTATATGATGCTTTTGTGATCATCAGTTGGACCCTTGCACATACACTAACATAACCTCTGCACTTGCCCATTGGGGTTTAGTTTCTATATTCATTACCTTTTCATCACTTTTCTTAGTCTAGGTGTGCTGGTTTGGTTTGGATATTCCAAATTCTAAGATATACATTTTTGTATCCAGGCCTAGAGATGCTTTCATCCTTCCTTGATATTCAGAGATTATTTTGACCAGGAGAATTATATTTTATTTCATTCTGTATTTCTTGAACATTTGCTTCTCACTATTCACTGCTCTAGCACAAAGCCTCATAGAATACTTCCAAAAACTTTATGAGCAGCAGAGCAATGGTCAGGCAATATGAGCTCATTGTTAATTTGAATTAATGATTAATAGAATTATTATTTTTTTCAGTACTGGTGATTGTACCCAAGGCCTTGCACATGCTAAACAAGTGCTCTACCTCTGAACTGCACCCCCAGCATGGATTTTTTAAATTATTTATAAATTCTAAGCTTAGATTTCTGTGAAGCTTTCATTTTCCTTTCAGCAGTTATAATTCAGGGCCAACATTGACTGCTTAGAACTTCCCATTTATTATAGAAGAAATCCCCCCTAATTTCCCATAGAGCAAAGTGATGTGGGTTGATGCATAGTGTGCTACTTTAGTTTGAAGTAGTGGTCATGGCAGATGCACAAAATTTCCCCAGAGGGAAATCCCATTAATTACAAAGGTGCAGAATACTAAGGTGAATCTTAAATTTTAGGATGCATCCTTGATTGTGATTTTTGTCATTTTGTAGGATTTGTGGTGGCTTTTTTTGCTTAAAAACTTGATTTAAGAAAAAAAAAAAAGCTCTCCTTTTCCATTTTTGGAATGAATATTGGCTAGACTAGGAGGTAGAAGCCTCCCAAACGGACTATTTTGTGGTTTTATACACTTGCCATGGTAGTGCCAAAAATGGTGATAGATGCAGAAGTGTTTTCCCAGAGCAGGCCTCTTCATCTTGGTCATGAAACACCCAAGTTGCTTGGGGGTGGGATGGAACAGAAAAAAATCTTAATGTTTTCTTTTTTCCTTTTTTGGTACTAGGGATTAAACCCAGGGAATTTGACCACAGAGCCATATCCCCAGGTCCCCCACTTCTTTTTTTTTGAAATAGGGTCTCTCTAAGTTGCTAAGGGTCTCCTTGCTAAATTTTTTTTTTTTTAAATATTTTTTAGTTACCTTTATTTTTATTTATTTATATGCGGTGCTGAGAATTGAACCCAATGCCTTACACATACTAGGCAAACGCTCTACCACTGAGCCACCACCCCAGCCCTCCTTGCTAAATTGTTGAAGGTAGCTTTGAACTTAGGATCCTTCTGCCTCAGCCTCCCAAATCAGTGGGATTATAGGTTTGCACCACCATGTCTGTCTTAACGTTTTCTTCTTATGTCCCTCAACAAAGCTGTGTCAATTCCCTTGACTTTACAGGCTTTTGCCCAGAAGAAAAAATGTTTGGTTTTCACAAGCCAAAGATGTACCGAAGTATAGAAGGTTGCTGTATTTGCAGAGCTAAGTCCTCCAGTTCTCGATTCACTGATAGTAAACGTTATGAAAAGGACTTCCAGAGCTGTTTTGGGTAAGATCAGTTGATGTTTGTACCATTTTAAATAATTCAGATCATTTATATTCTAATCTAGGCTATTTAAGGTTCCTCTTCTTAAAATAAATGAAACAATACTGACAGCCTAATTTTTTTGAATATTTTTAATATTTAATTTTTAGTTCTCGGCGGACACAACATCTTTGTTTGTATGTGGTGCTGAGGATCGAACCTGGGCCGCATGCATGCCAGGCGAGTGCGCTACAGCTTGAGCTACATCCCCAGCCCCTAATTTTTTTTTTTCATATTACTAAGAGCTAACAACCAAATTGTGAGCCCCTTATAGTTCTAATTAGACAAACTCTTGTTATCTTCATGATATAAAGAGATTTTAAAAGATTATCTTTATTCTCTTATTAATAGTGGTTCTTAGTATTTCATACTGTAATCTAACTTAACAGAAGAAGATGATGAAAAAAATTTTCTGCCCTGAAACCTGCTCAGGGTATGTATGGTTTTGTTTCATAATTATATTCTTCATTTATGGCAATAAGCCTTTGCTTAATAAGATGAAACTATTTTTTTAAATATTTTTTTTTAGTTCTAGATGGACAACAGTACCTTTATTTATTTGTTTCTATTTTTATGTGGTGCCGGGGATGGAACCCAGTGCCTCACACATGCTAGGCAAGTGCTCTACCACTGAGCCACAACCCTGGCCCCAATAAGATGAAACTTATTCTCCAACAAACACTGGATAAAAGTGTTTGTTATATTTCAATTTAAAAAAAAATTTTTTTTAGTTGTAGATGGACACAAGACGTTTATTTATTTTTATGTGGTGCTGAGGATTGAACCCAGCATCTCACACATGGAAGGCACGTGCTCTATACCATTGAGCCACAACCCCAGCTCCTTTTATTTCAATTTTTGAGACATGGTCTCTACAAGTTGCTGAGGCTGACCTTGAATTCGTGATTCTCTCATCTCTGAGTTGCTGGGGTTACAGCTGTGTGCCACTGTACCTGGCTTAAAATGTTTAATGTTGAACCATTTCCCATATTCAAAATTAATTTGTTTTTGTGTTTACCATGTAGGAAGAATACAATAAATGAAAAGTTCCTTAGAGATACAGCTTAAAAATATTTGACAACTAGTCCTATGGATTTTTCTCCCTATACAGATCACTTTAAAAATTACAATACATCTTTTTTTTTCTTGTGAAATTGGAACGTCATGATACATTGTTTTACTTAAAATGTGGCATTTTATTGCTTAATGCAATATCTACATATTTCAAGAATGACAGCATTGCTTAAAACCATGGTGATCAGGCTCTCTTCTAGAGCATAAATCTTACTATTTCATTTTAAAAATATTTAAAAAAAATTTTTTTT